AAACCATCATTTCCTAAAAATTCACTAGGCACAATATTTTGAGCCCCCATTTGGCCCTGATGGTAGGAGGATGGGAAAAACTCCTTGGCCATGGGGTTCAACTTGAGCTTCTGCAACATATCAACAATTCCTTTCATTTGCATACCAGATTTTGGGTTCGAATCAGAACACTTAAGACCATTATCAGTCACATCATTTTCCCTCGAATCGACAAAATTAAATTATCAATTTTCTCATCAGTAATGGTCTTAGCAACAACTGGGCTCTCAATAGAAACCTCAGCACCAGCAGCCATTGGATCAAACAAAAAACACCCACAAACACGGGTTCAAATTAAATTACAGTAAAAATAAAAATTAAGAGCAAAGAGTACCGAGAATGAGAGCCGAGAGAAAGAGTACTGATTAATCAAGAGCAAAGCTTCAAAATCTGGAACTTTGAATTGAATTGAGCCAGAGATTACAAACCCTAAACTAAATCAGACCTAACCAGTACAAACACAGAGAGAGAGAGAGAGAGAGAGTACCGTGAACCCTACCTGACGGGGCCGAGAGAGAGTACCGAGAATGAGAGCCGAGAGAAAGAGTACCGAGAATGAGAGATTCGCCGTCAAAATCGCCGAAAATGAGAGATTCATCGTGAAATTCAACGAGAATGAGAGCCCTTTTTTCGTCGACGGGGCCGAGAATGAAAATTGAGTGCGGGGAAATGAAGATGAATAAAGGGGGAAAATGGTGAAAAAAATGAAACAAGAAAAAGTTGATAAAATGGTGTCTAAGGGCAATTATGTCTTCTCACATGCCTTAATGGCTATATTTCATCTTTTCTAAAAAGATGGCTAGATTTCATCTTTTGTTTTGTTGAAGTGCTATAAAGCACCATTACCACAAAACAATAAAATAGGTGTACAAGGACAATTAGGTATTTTTTCAAGCCAAAATGGCTATATTTCATGTATTTTAAAAAAAGTGGCTAGATTTCATTTTTTCTTTAGATTAAGTGCTATAAAGGGGCATTACCACAAATATTTATATATAGTTATGAAATCGATTTACGTAATACAATCATTCAAATTCCCGAATTTTTATGGTAAATCGTAACCAAAAAGATTTAAAATCTTAAAAATTTATACATTAATCAAATTTTTCTTTTCAAAAAGGTTAAAAATCTTTATATGTATAAGAGAACTCATAACAAAAATTTTATTTATATATCTATAATAATTGAAAGAGTGAGGTAAAAAATTCATTTAAGGAAACTTTTAAAAAAAAAATTGACTTCCCATTTGTGGAAAGTTTTAATTCTCAATTTCATTGCTTTATTTTCGTAACAAATTGGAATAAAAATCCGAAAACCAAGCTATTGCCTTATCTAATATCTCTACTCTCGTAAAAAAAAAGATTGGATAAGAAGTTTATTTAAATCCTTAATTTCATTGCTTTATTTTCGTAACAAATGGGAATTAAATCCGAAAACCTTGCTTTATTTTCGTAACAAATGGGAATTAAATCCGAAAACCAAGCTATTGCCTTATCTAATATCTCTACGCACGTTTAAAATAATAATCGTGGCCAAAGAATCAGCCTAATCTATATATTAATATTAATAATAATTATCGTTCCATATTTTTCGTAGAGATAACATGTAGAAAAACTCTCTATATAAAAGGTACACACTGAGATCATTTTTTCTTCACCTCCTCAACACGCGCAGTAGGAAAACAAAAATTACAAAATACAAAAATTATTTTATGGCACCATTCCAGGGTACACTTGATGCCGTGAGTCGATCCAACGAACCGTTTTTGAAGTTGAGAGTAGTCCAACTGCTGAAAACTCATGACGATCCGGAGCATCCAAACGATTTTCATATCCTGTTTCATGATGAAGGGGTAATTATTTTCAACTGTTTTATCATTAACATTATTACATGAATATCTAATATCAAATTTCAACTGATTTTTTTATTTTATTTGTATTATTTATTATTTCAAATATGTAGGGTTCATACATGAAAGGAATAATATGTTCGCAGCATATGAGCGTATTTGGAGATCGCCTTAAACAAGACGAGGTGTATTTTATTCCCAACTATGATGTTGAATATAATAGTGCGAGGAAGGATATAATAACTTATCATTGTAAGATTGTCCTTCATGTAAGAACATATTTGATCAAATACAATGGAAATTTTCCTCAATATTAGCAAGGATCGAGATATAGTTGCCGCCTGCATTTCGTAGGTTTTTATTATATATAATTTGTTGATTTGGTAAGAAATTTATTCCGTGTCATTTTTTTTCCGAATTGGATGTTTATTATTTTTTATCGTCAATAATTTTTTTATTAATTCACTTATTCTTCGATTTTGTACTTACATACGGTTCTTTTATTTTTTGTTTGTTTTATTTGTACTACATGATTTTTTTTCATTACTGGCAATTTTTAATAATTTGCAATAACAATTTTCAGATGCGCTCATATGATTAATAACCATTTTCGGATGCAATAACAATTTTCGTTTTAAATTGTATATAGATATACATAATTAAAATGTTTATACAAGTATTTAAACTGAAATAATGTAAAAATAATATTACATAATTATGATTTAGTTTACAGAAATTTAGAAACAAATCGTGTATCCCCTTATAAATTAATAACAAAAACATTTATTTCGGATATTTATTTAAATACCAAATTGTGTATCCCCTTATAAATATCTCATTCTTCTTAATTACATATTTAAATACCCACTCTATCTTATTATTGTTAATACTACTTGACTTTAAATAAAGAATGGACACGTGTAGAGTTTTTGTGATAGTCTATTTGTTCACGGGATGGTAGCCGATTTTATTTTACCGGTTTTTTAGCCGATTAATATAAATTTTTGCATATTCATTAATTCTGTAATTTATTTTTAAATCTAATGATGCAACGATTTAAAAAATAAATTATTATAATGATTGGAAAATAACAAATATCTCAGTCCTATTTTATATCTATAATTATATTAAAAGAATAACCATTTTAGATGTTTGACGCCAATTTTATCTACAAATACCCGCCAATTTCATTAAAAGTGTCCTAAAAATAGTAATTGTTGGACAATTATGAATAGGGAAATAAATCAGCTGATTTATTGGGATAACGTACATAGAAGAAATCTTATCCCATCCTTAATCTGTTTACATTTAAAAAATTGAATCTGTTCACACTTAATTCCATACACACGTCGCCCTTAAAGATCGGACCATTAAGAATCCTATTATATAGATCCCTATAAATTTTAAAAATATCATCTCTTATCTATCTATTCTAACATATTTTTTATAAAAAACTATCGTAACTAAATTTCTTTTTCTTAAAACAAGTTAATTGTCTAATTGCAAATATAAATCATTCGGTAATTTTTTTTTAAAAAAAAAATAATTTTCACTCATCCAAATACTAATATTTTTTAACAATTATCAACACTTATAATATTTTAGATATTTTAAACATTGGACAAA